GCATATAAGCTTGATTAGGTTAAGTTAGCTTTTTTTTAGTCACTTTTAAACAATATTGGGTACTAAACATTACACTAATACTATACAATACTATACTAAACAAAATAAAAAAAATGTCTACCTTGTTTACAAACAAGGATTTTAAATAATACTCCATTTTATTAAAATGTCCTTGAATATCTTACAACAAAAAATTGGCGCCACTATCAAAATAAAAGGCTCATGTATTCAATTATATAGAACCATATTCAATGTTGTTTAATAGTAATGCAATAATGAAATTCATTGGCTATCTTCAGAATTGAACTCTTCAGATCTTTACCTAAGAGAATGGATAATAAGATTCATAAACTCTAAGGTTTATAAACCCAAGCTGATTGCCGGCGTTATGGACAGTGCTGCCCTCATACAAGAACGCAGAGATGACCTAAGAACTACTATTATAGTAAGTGTATGGTGGAATTTTTGAACAGTTATTTCAAACCGTTAGTCTTCTATTTTATATTGTATTTTATATAATTAAGTTAACTATTTCTCTTTCATAAATTTTTGATCAACTTTCATGCTTGATAATATATTTCTGACTCACCCTGAAGTTATTATCAATTGAATTTTAAATTTCTTATTTTTTAATTTAATTTTAATTTTCCATTTTTTAATTTAATTTTAACTTTCCATTTTTGAGTTGAAATAATTTTATTTGGGATTTTATTTTCTTTGAAATTGTGTGTTCAGAAGAGTGCTATACATGTTAGGTAGTTTATGGATGACATTTAAGTCTCTACACTGAAAACGTCAAATATTGAAATCTTGATAGCTTCTGACTATTAATTATATAATTAACAGAAATTGACAACTGGTCACATGTGATTTATACAAAAATTGTTATATAAAAAAAGAGTATAAAAAAAAATGTATAAAAAAAGAGCATAAAAAATTGTCATAAAAAAGAGCATAAAACATTGTTATATATAAAAAAGAGCATGAATAAATTGTCAAATAAAAAAGAGTATATCTAAAGTATGTATAATAATATTCTGATTGAAACTCCCTGTATGTAATGACAGAAGAAACTGCGGCCGGTGTCATGTGTGCAATGAGAAGTCACATGGGAAGACACGATCTGGGTGGTTCGAATGACTCATGTGTTACACCGAAATTCGTCGGGATATCAGTTTCGTAAATCTCCACGTAAGAAAACGGGCGACGTAGATGTTTTTTATTGTTGGTATTATAGTTCAAACAGTACATCCACTTGATTAGGCTCGACCCGATAACAACCACCCTTCCTTTACAAGTATCATACGAGATATGAAACCTTCGTATGGTAAATACATGCTTGAGGATATTGGTAAAAAACATTATAAAATGAACACTATTCAATATTATATTAATTCAAAATTAATATTTTGATATTAATTCAAAATTGCCAAGTAAAATTACTCTTGAAAATTTTTGAATTTTATAATTTTTTAGCCAAATTTTTAAATAGATGAATTTACAAAATTTTTAATTTTAATTTGATGTGAAAATTCCCTGAAAATTTCAAAATTTTCAAATCTTAGGGCTGTCAAACCCAAGGGTTACAAGTTTACAAATTCACAATTTTTAAATTTGTCAATTTTTAAATTTTCTAATTTCATAATGTAAAAACTTCCTCATTTCTCAATTTTCTAATTTCATAATATAGAAATTTTCTAATTTCACAATATAGAAATTTCCTAACTTTTAAATTTTTCAATTTTTAATATTTTTTAAATAAAAATTCCAAATTTAGTAATTTAAAAATTCATAAATTTTCAAATATCCAAGTTCTGATATTTTTAAACTTTCAAATTTCAAAACTTCACAGTTCTCAAATCCACAAACTGTCAAATCCACAAATTACTTTTCTAATTTTCACATTTCGAACTTTTCAAATTTATAAATTTCCTAATTCTCAAAATTCTAAATTTCCAAACTCAATTCTCACATCATTAAATTTTCAAATCTAATTCTCAAATCATTAAATTTTCCAATACAATTCTGAAGTCATTAAATTTTCAAACTCAATTTTCAAATCATTAAATTTTCTAATTCAATTCTCAAACAATTAAATTTGCAAGCTTCTAAATCCCAAAATTTGTCAAGTTTCTAAATCTAAAAAATTTGTGCATTTCCTGAAAAATTTCAAATATCTTCCAAAATTAAAAATTTCAAAATTTTCTAAACTCTCAAATTCCTGAAACTAAAGTTTTCATTAAAAAACAAGCAGTCTTCCCTATATCACAATTATCCCTAGAAAAATCTGCAAAATACTATAATCATAATTGTTTAACATACAATAATTTTTCTTCAATTATTAAATTAAATTTAATTCACAACATTGGTAACCCTTAAAATTTCAGCATGTCAAACATTTTAATTTATATTTTTATGTAAATTTATATTTTATCAAGTGTCCCATAAAAATAAATGTAATGTCAGTAATAAAAATGTTTCCACAATATATTATCCTTTATGCCAAAATCCTAATAGTATAAATTACAGTATATATACTTTAATTAAAGTTCTTCATAATGTCAATTTATTGTAGTCTGCAATAATTTCTTTAAAATTATGAAATTACATTTAATTTACAATGTTGGTAACCCCTAAAATTTCAGCATGTCAGATTTTAATTTACATTTTTCTGTAAATTTATATTTTATCAAGCGTCCCATAAAAATAAATGTAATGTCAGTAATAAAAATATTACCACAAAATATTATCAAGTTTATAGCAAAAGCCTAATAGTATAAGTTATTAGTATATTAAAATTCATATAATAGTATAAGTATATTAAAGTCCATCATAGTGTCAATTTATCTGACCACCGGTCAGTCACCTGTCTATTTTCAGAATTTGCATAAATTCACTTAAATCCAAAAACCAAGTCATTCACCTTGTCACATCCATGTCACAAAATTCGGGGAATATTAAAAATACGAAACCATAATGAAAACATCGAAAATTTGTACATCTGTCTTTCGATCAAAGACAGACCTGATCCATTGGATTATTTACAAAAAGAATACACACAAGTTTCGAAGGCTCCGTCGAAAAGAACTAATGCGGGCGTTAATATTTTGACAAGCGCGCGGACAAAGACATTTAACGGTTAAACGAGTTGTTCTTCGTGAGATTCTTATCGACGAAACACCGAGAAGAAAAATAAGCAACAAGACGAAAAAAAAAGCAAAAGAGAGGGGCAAGACCGTGGCCTTTGTCACTCGGTCGCCCGTGAAAAACAATGACACATTATCCGTACCTCCTTGCCCCTACTGTTGAATCGAACAAAAGACAGTCGGTAGGGGGAATCACCTTCTTAGAACGGCCTTGAGAGCGAAAGAAAGTACCATGTGTTACTTGTTCAAGAAAAAAAAGAAACTTTCGTTTAAACTGATCCTGAGGTGTCGAACACGCGCGGAAAAAGTGCTCCTTGACAAATAGTAAACAAAGTACGCGAGTGTTTTGGGAGAAACGTCGTTTCTTGCACGAATTCCATCGGGCCGTTTGATCCGACATCAAAGAAAATTAGAAATTCGAACAAAAAAATTGAACACTTTACAAAATTAAATATTTGAAAAACATTGACACGTGTTTTAATTCAAATTTTATTTTAAATATTTTTTAATTTAAAACAAGTAAAAACACTGCAGAAAAATTAGAACGCAACTGCAAATGTAACTGCAGAAAAATTATAATGCAACAGCAAATGTAACTTGTAGCAAAATCAACCTTGAAGAGGTTAAGGTTACTTCCACACATTGTAGCAGAAAATTCACTCGACGCACATGACACCACATGATAGAAATTTCAGCACAACAAGAGAGGAGAAATTACTGATCAAAAAGAAAAATTTTAGACTTTCGAAAATGATAAATAAATATGTACGCATATGCATACAAGTTGCAAGCGTTCATGGTCCTCAAAGCACTTTTTTGCCAACACGTCGAAACAGAGAAACCGGTCCACCAACGGCAGCAGCTAGGTGGCAGTGTGTGCTTGCTAACTTCCGAATCGAATATTACCGTTCAAGCATGTAACGAACTGACAGCTTTTCTGCCGCGCACCAATTAACCCCAAATTCTTGGCGAAACAAAATGGAACATACAAAAGAACAATCGGTGTATGATCCTTTGCCGAACAATCGCGAATAAATTGATGAAAAGTAACCGCACATGCAGCATACGTGTTGCACGACATTGCGATAGAAAGTGTAATATATTGGTTAACGTATCTATCGCTTGACATATTTTCACTTATATTGATCCACTAGACAATGTAAATAGTAATAGATCTAGATAGAAATAATACTAGGTAATTTAAACTAAATAGGAAAATATTTTATATGAATATTAATATTTGAAAATGTCAAGTTATATGTTATTATAAGTTATAACTTGTTAGTATGTATTAAAAAAAAAATATTAAGAAAAACGGTGATTTTGTATTTAAAGAATAATTTTTATACGCATTTTTTATTTATTTTTATCGATAACCTTCGAATGAGGTATTGCGCGCGAAAAATTAACGACCCGAATTTTGGCGGCAAAATCGAAACGAAAAAGGACTCGTTCGCTGCCGAAGTTACATATCGAACGTCTCGAGATTTATTTATAAACGGAAGCATATAATTGATCTAAGAAGGCAGACTGCCAAAAAGAAATATACAACCTGATACAAATTGTTCAGAATCTCTGCAAAATGTTCCTCATCGATATTTATACGCGGTCTTTAGAAATAGTTGAATGGGACGAATGTTCGAAGAAAGCCGAATCAGACACTATTTTCACCTCAATTACCCGGCGTCGTATCTATCTTGAGAACGATCGAAAGCACCCACATTTCGTTTCACGTTACAGTTTCTATTTGTCGAAAAAAGTTCTCGAACGAGCAACGATCACGCGAGTCACACTGCGAAACTATCATTTTGAACCGGGCGGTAACAGTAATAAAGGAAAAAAAATACACTGTACCTGTCGGCCACTTCGTGTTGTACGCCAAAAGAGTAATAGTATCCACTGTGGAACACACTTTGACACGAGTTCGAATCTCGCGCTAGAAACTGAACCGATATACGGAATAAAGGCGCGTCCCGCCTATTTTCTGTATGATTGAGATGCGGCTAAATCGCGTTCGATCGGTCTCGAACGTGGAACGAACGGTTTGATACACGTCACTGGAACGCACTTTCTTTCATCCGCGGTAATGCAAAAACTAACCGTGGAAAAATGCCGTGATGAAATATCCGTTCAGGCGATACAGCCGCCGGTACTACTGTCGTACGGCCATAAACCTTCTAGCCGTTTTCTTTTATTATCGAGACTGTTTAACAAAGATATACTACTGCCGCTATTGTATTTTACCAGGCAAAGAAAGAATTTCATTCTCGGCGCGATCTGTACGACAAACCGGTGGCTCGAACTCTGTCTCGTGCACGCACACGGTGATCGGCGGCGACCCGTACTTTACTTTAAGGCCGGTTAGAGGCGACTAAACTAACTATTCGGCTTGTGCGCCTTCCATCTTCCGCAGGCATGCCCACCGCTGCGGGACCGGCGCCAGGACTGTGCCGTGCGCCACGTCGCCCCACCCTAATTTCTCCGGTACCGGCTACCTTCTACCGGCGCATTTATCTAACCTCCTATCGCACGATAATCGAGCTGATATTTAACCTCGCTTCAAACACTTATATTTTATACAAGCTGGCCCAAAAATCCTGCTACTAGTGTCTTCTATTACAAGCCGAATAACATTTCATTTCATTCAGATGTATAGAGTACTTCTTCAATCATATTGTAATGTGTTAGCGGAATTTAACTTAATTTTGCATGTCAATAAAATTACTTTAAATAAATTAGGAGTGATTTAATGAGTGTATTTAATTCTATTAGAAGTTATATGTTGGTTTAAATATTGAAATCATATTATATGTATGTTGTAAATGGTATTGTGCTATAATAGAAATTATATATAAGTATAATTTGTTTAGTATAATGTAATACAATAAAGATAATATTTTTTTTTATTTATTTGTTTGTAGTTGCATCAACTAGCCATGGGTTATTATATTATTGTAATATTATTGTAAAATAATTGTGTTAGTGCGTAATCAGAATTAGTGATTTTTGTGAAGCTGTATTTCTAATGTAATTAATTTAATAAATCTACAGTACAAAACATGTAATTAATATTATAATAACAGGAACTTTCAGTTAATTAGATTAATTATAATTCTTATTAATATATTAATGATTATATATGATTATTGTAAAAATTCCAATAAAATTTATTAGTGACAGAATTGATAATTTCAAGAATATTTTTCGTTAATTTAAAAATCAATGACTGAAAATGAATTATCAGACATTACTAATTATAATATTATGTATCATTCATAGGATTTAATTGAATGTATAATGCACATGTAAGTAAAAATACCACAATAATTTCATATCAATGATTACATTTGTTAACTTATAATATTACATATTATTAATAACATTTCTTCAGTTAAATTAATAATATTAATTACATTAATATATATTAATAACTATCAAATTAACCAAAAAATGATTGAAATTGCAGAAATTACAAATATTTTGTAAGATCTGCAAAATGAATTTTCCCAAAAACGAAGTTGTATTTTGAACAAATTTTACTTTCTTTTATTTATTCTTGTGGCAATTTTTGGGACACCGTATATATTACTAGTATATCAGTAGATATTACGCTATTTACGAATAATCGCGTTATCACCGTATACAAGTATATCTACTCAATGTATTATGATACGATAAATCAATTGTAGAAACAAAAATTCTTCGCCGTTATAAAAATGTAATTAACTAGAACAGTGTATATACAAATAAAGATGTTTATCAATTACAACTTCTTACGTGTATAAATGAGGGGTGAGGGTATGGAAGGATTCAGTGCCATTTTGTAAGAAATCAAATGTGAACTATTGTGTAAATATGAATGGGAGTGCAATTACAGTTAATATAATAAGGTATAAGTTTACAGCTAATAAATTACAGTTAATAAATTATAATTCTTATAATATTTACATTGCTAATATTTCAGAGTTCTCAATATTTATTGCTAATATAATTTATGTCAGTAATGAGAGCTGCACGGCGTCAGCCATAAACTCTTATTTTCCTTTTATTGCTGTTTGAAATCTGGTAATAAATACAATATAAAAATGTCGATGTCACTGTTCAAAATTATTACTCTTTCAATTGCATTAAATATTGATCAGAAATTTTGTATTCAACCTTTATTTTAACTTTGAATTCACACAAGTTTATAGAACCATCATTAATTAACCTCTGTATCACGTTACAATCTAAGCTTCCTTCTTGTTACAGTATATGTATCTACTACAAAATATGCACACCTATGTTGATTTATAAAGAGAATTACCATATGATGATTATCATTTCTAACACGAAATACCCTTACATTAAACAGGTAGTGTTCTTTTGTGTAGTGCAGATACCAGCTACGTATATAGCTTAGAGCATACATTACGGTTTGATGTACGCCTTTTCGCATGAGTTTGTCACGAGAGAAATGTGGAGGCCACATGTGGAGCAGGGTTGTGGTTGGCAACCTGTCGGAACCTGTACGAATTTAATACTATAACCAGTGGTGTAGTATTAAGAATACAAACGTTGATGACACTTCTGTTATTCCACGAAATGCATGGTCCATTTAAGATCTAAATTATAGACAAATCTGAATCCCCTTATATTATTATAATCCTCTTACGTACAATTGTATTTTGTATCATAGAACTAATCGTTCTCGTAAACTGTAAATATGGAGTTATATTTCCGGAGATTTGTACGTAATTCAGTAACAACTTCCTTTCAGCTACCTGTACGTCCAAGGCAACTGAAACAATTGTATTCCTGTCATTTTGCGTGCAATGTGTTTTACGCTCTTTTAAACCAGACTTACATAAACCTATGAAGTTCGCTGAAAGAATATGCAACAGTATAGAATCTCTCTTTAATCCGTGACAAATTCTGAATCAAAAATAAATTGTGGTCGATGGTCCTAGACTATAATATTTTACTCGTGCTAATGTGATGGTGCGTCGTAAATCAACGGTATTTTTATCTACCACAAGCCAGTTTTCAACGCATGTCGTATATATCTATTATTTCAAATTGTGAAGTCAACGGTGATAAAGTTTTTACATATACAGATAAACGTTGATTTATTCTCTGAATGATAAAAGGAGAAAGAGATGCTGCCGTTTACTGAAGTTTATTGGTCAATTTTTAAATTCAGCTTTCTATTTTTTATTTCGGAAATTTGAAAAGGTTGGGAATTTAGAAATGTGAAATTATTGGAGGTTAGGTGGTTGGAGATTAGGGAGTTTCAAGAGTTGGGGACTTAGGGGTTTCATAGTTCAAAAATTTAGAAGTTTAGGGTTTGAAAGTTTAAAAATTTAGGGGTTTGAAAGTTTAAAAATTCAGAGGTTTGAAAGTTTAAAATTTTAGAAATTATTTGGGAAGAGGAAACTTGGTTGGGGATTTAGAAATGTGAAATTTTATGAAATTATGTAGTTGGAAGTTAGGGAGTTAGGGAGATGGGGATTTAGGGGATTGATCATTTAAAAATTGAGAAATTTCGGGGTTTGAAGGTTTAAAAATTTAGAGGTTTGAAAGTTTAAAAATTCAGAGGTTTGAAAGTTTAAAATTTTAGAAATTTGGGAAGAGGAAACTTGGTTGGGGAGTTAGAAATGTGAAATTTTATGAAATTATGTAGTTGGAAGTTAGGGAGTTTAGGGAGTTGGAGATTTAGGGGATTGATCATTTAAAAATTTAGAAACTTAGGGGTTTAAAGGTTTAAAAATTTAGGGGTTTGAAAGTTTAAAAATTTGGGAGTTTGAAAATTTGGAAATTTAGGGGTTTGAAAGATTAAAATTTTAGAAATTTGGGAAGAGTAAAAATTGATATTTGTGAACAACGCAATCTGAAAGTTTGATAATTAAAAAATGTGTAAAGACCTCAACAATTTTTAAGATCTTCACATACAGGAATATTAAACACCCTAAAAAATTCCAAATCCTTTCAATTAAAAAGTGGAATAACCTACATATTTAAAATGTCCGTATCTACATACTTCAATACAGTCCAAATGTCTGAAAAGAAGATTGTCTCAAGGTAACAGATAAGTTCGAATTTTATGGGTCATTATCCTAAAAAAGTGGCATAAAATAATCTGGCAAGGTATCGTAAAATATAAAAGACGAATCCATTATACCCGCAAGAAATGTAATAATCTATGAAGTGCCATTAAAAGTTAATTTCTTCGTATGCGTTTCAAAATATTTCACAATATTATCTGAAATATATTCTAAATAAATTCTGCAATAAAATATAATTTGCCGTCCTTCGAGCGCGTCCGTCAAAAGGGTAATTTCTAGGATTCGCACGTTGTGTCGAGATATTACACCATACATGGTCATTGTATCTATTTCAGGCATGTATTTATTGACTGAGACTTTTACACAATGAACGCGTGTGTTCACGATGCCCGGGAAGGCTGCTCGTAATGTATGTATGTATGTACGTAGCCCTTGACACACAATATTGTGCAATTCTAAGCAGCACAGAAAATGCGGCTGATAGCGACACGTTACGTCACTGTCAGTATTAAGGGTTAGATTTATGGGAGGTTTTGATGAACCGAGATAACAGAGTTTCGCGTTATTATCATCTTCACTCGAATCCAGTGAAAAGTTTCGACGTTGTTTTATTTCAAGCACTGATTAGAACTTCAACGCATTATCGTAATCATCCGTAAACTTTATGAGAACAACTCGTTGAACTGTTCTTAACCCAGAACTATCAACTACGAATATAATCTTTACGCGTTTTATCTTGGAAGTACGCTTGAGTAATATGTAATACATACTACAATACTTTGTCTTATTTCTGATACCTAATCTCTTTAATCTCTCATATTAATGTCAAACAGATATGAACCCAAGTTTTGGGACTGTTACTGAAATTATGTTTATCGGTATATTCTGTTTATGGATGAAAGTATTAGTAATTGGTATCGAAGTTATTTATTTACGGGAAATTTTGCATGGATTCAGTATTTGAGAAAATTTTTGTTGTGGGGTGTGGACTCGTCGTGTTACGGCACTGACGCAATACGTGTGGGGGCCGCGCCCGCGCTACTCTTGCCATAATGTTACATATATTGCGAAAATTACGTTGTTTTGTTCGAAACAACTTTGAGAATATTTGTTTGTGATGGTAATCGAAGCTACTGTTCAAATTTGAGCATCTGTCGCGATGTACTTCAAGAGATATTTGAGCTGAAACAGCGGCGTTGCGGATTACTTGTTCGTTGCGGAGTATTGAGCGCTGCGGTTCAGGCGGCATCAACGCCTTAGTGACAGATTTGAGTTGTTCGCGAGTAACTGTCACTAAATCAAGTGTTCTTTTCAATGATCTAGTGATGGTTGCGTGTTACATGTAGTT